CATCAGCATAGATTGTCATTAGTAAATGCCAGTTTTCTTGGAATGTCTACTAAAAATTTTGAGCATGGGGCTGAACCATTTGCAGGCCCTAAGAAACTTGTACAAATGTTAATCACTAAAGGTGCTGATGTCAAAGCAGAATCTAGAGTTGGCACTCCACTGCATGCTGCATCAGCTGGTGGCCAAAAGGACAACGTTGAGGTTTTGTTGGAAAACCATGCTGACGTAAGGGAGAGTCATTTTTATTATCTATTTTCCCTTGAAAAAGTTCAGTGTTACCTTGCGAAGGCATTTTGTGGCTGTATGTTGTGTTAATTGGGATGAGCTCATGTAGTTTTCTGTTTTGGCAAATAAAAAAGGTGTAGCAGCAATATTTCCCCCTTGAATGGTTTCTATGACATTACAAAAATTACTTTGACTAATTTCTTGTTTCTACTCTTGCATAGCCAAATGTGGTTTCTCCTGAACACCGTACCCCATTGATGTTAGCTATCTCTGCTTTGTCAGTTGACTGCGTGAAGCTGCTGCTTGAGGTCTCTTTCTCTCTCTCTCTCTCTCTCTCTCAGTCTGAATTTTCAATATTTTAGAATCATTTTTTTTTAATTTCCATATTTTAAAATCTTTTTTTTTTAAACTTTTTTGGCCAGTAAAAATATTCATATTGGAGCAAGTTTTTTTTTTTTTATTTTTATTTTTTATTCCCTGATTCTAGAAGGCCACCAACACGTGGGCAACATTGAAGTAGGTGTTTTGGAGGAATGTCTAGATTAGCAACCATAATTTGGTGATTCTCATGCATCTTGCAACTTATGTAGTATGAGTTCTGCAAGTAGACATTATTCAAAGTCTCAAACATGAAAACATAAGAATAGAAGTGTGATTAGAATCTAGCCCCACATGTGATTGTGGTGCCGCTCTTGCATGAACTTGTGTACAGGGAAAAGCTGATGCAAACCACACATCATTGAGTGGATCAACAACTTTAGCATTGGCAGCACATAAAGGGTCGCCTGGAATTATTAATTGCCTGTTAAAATATGGAGCCAATCCAGAGGCCATTGATTGTGTGAGTTATATCAGTTTTTTTGGGTTTACATGTATCTTTTATTGTTCAACATTTTCAAACAATTTAACCAGTTACAATGTGTAATCATTTTCACAACATATTAACATATGCTGAAATAGAGGCAAAACTTCTTATAACAGATCTTGGTTGTTAATCAATTTCTCATTTAACAATAGAGTTTATGTCTGTTTTATTTTGTTAATAGTGCTTGAAAACTACAATGGTAAATCTGACAAATTAAAATTTTACCATATTCAGTTTAAGTTATTCTACTGAACACATTTGATACCGAGTCCATGTTCAGTTCATTTGTTATTAATCTAGCTGGATTCAAGTTGAATTATTTTTATGAAGCTCATTTCTTTTCATCACAACATAGTAAATCAAC